ATCAGAGATCACAAACACCATCGCTACGGTAGAGTCGATCAGTTGAGTCAGCATCCAAAATTTGTGGGAGTTTTGCGGAATACAAAAGTCGGGTAGTATTTCTCTTAAACAAAGAATAGTTTCACAGTTTTCACATTCCTAGGTAGTTTATTCCAAATAGTAATTGCATTAACAGAAAATAATCGACTATAATTAACGGTACGTACCAGAGGAAGAATGAAAATACCTTACGGTGGCTGTTACGTCGGGGGCGGATAACATGTATGGAAGTAGTAAGTGCAGTTTATCAGTGCAAACAGTTGCATCCGAACTTAGGAAGGAATCAGCCCAAACGTAGGAATTAAGGTGTGTTAATAATGCGGCCGAGCGAGCTGATCGAAAATCTTTCTTTGACTGTGCCCATAAACTGGCATTAAATACAGTCATTATTTTTACTGTACTTTCCGATGTTTTATAAAAACCAGACCCAAGCAGTTAACCCTTTGCCATTCATGTGTTCTCACTGGAAACATAACATATGTACAGTTGCTTGCATAACTTATCAATTAAATGAAATTCATATTGAAACTACTCGGAGGTTTGCTGACCTCGAAGTCTTTAGATAACCTAGGATCTGCAATACTTAAGCCCTTTGTTTTCAGAGACTTTTTATGTGGCGATTTGGCTGCGTAATCATTTGAATTGCGCCGATACGCACTTTTGTTTGGCTCAGTTTCTCATCGCATTTTGACATGGAATGGAATATTTCCGAAATGCGAAGAGTAATTCTGCACGCTTGATGTCGGTACGATGCGGAAGGCAGTAACTGCAAGATGGTAGCTAAGTCAATATAGTTCCGGTCGACGTGCAGCGTAATACCGTTGAGCACCATTTGATACCATTTTGTCTGTTCATTGCCCAAGGGCTTCAAGGAGAGCAGTGTCTGCGTTGCGCATTATCAAGAAAAACTTCATAAATTTTGATGAAGACCGCTTCTCCACAATCTACGAGGCATTTACGGGGTCTCATTTAAACGGTTTGATCAGAACCAGATTGCGAAATGTGTCATTCCACTAATTTAAGTGTGATAAAAGTGGGATAAATTCTAATGTGGCGTCCAGGAGGTCGTAGCTCTGAGAGCTTGAGAACTCACGAAAAAACCCTTCTTCCTTTGAATCTATTTCTAAAGTGCTTCCGAAAAACTTCCGCCTACTTTACCCGAACATTCCCTAACAGTTTAAATACACCTAAATTGCCTAGTTTTCATACCTTTTTCGCGACAGCAATGACTTAAAAATTTCATGTCAAGCCTGTACGGTTTATCCTCTCTGGGGGACTCGATTTTTCGCTGTTAGTCGGGTAAGGCTTTTTGCTGATATATTTCAAAATATATTGGAAACAAATTGGCAGCATGTGGTCTTTGTTCATTAGACCGCAGGTTTGAGTTCGGAAGGCGTCTATAAAGGTTATCTAAATCAAGTGCATACTGGAAAACTGAATATCCGGCATGCACCCCACATACCATCCTCCACGAAATATTTTAGACTAGATGGCAGCCAATTTAGCTGCATGCACATTTCAGATGAAGAAGATGCGATCACTGGAACATCTTGTCTGCTTCTACATGCACAGCATTGAATAAGTGATTCGAATTCACTCAGAAACGGAGGCATATTAAGAAAAGAAGGCTTGCCGGTTAGTAAAGGCCCCCATATATTTTCTTCCACACCTTTAACTTGTTTGACGCGTTTAAATATTTGTGCGTCTTCGCGTCAAACTTTTGGTAGGTGTATAGTAAGACCAAAATTTTGGTATGTTGCTATTACCAATGTGGTACCTTCCTATGTTTTTGCTCTGCTCCGTATGCATCCTACGGCTACATAACTAAATTTAGGTTGTACTGTTTCACTAAGAAACCCTACTTTTGCCCATATTCTCCTAAATGCCAAAGTGCTTAACTTGAATTACAATACCGACGGGCTCACATAGACGGTACTCTGCTATTTTAAAATTTACCGGCATGAACTTGAAAATGGAACCTTAACGTTTCCGGCGTTTGTCGATTTAGAGCAAACCTTCAGCATACACAGCGATGTACTCCGTCCACAGTTACTTCTCGACGTCTTTGTTTTAATTTACTAGTCCGTTAGCCGTTAAAACGAGTCGCGGCCGCCTCATTTTTCTGGGCAATTAATTAGTTCAAAGATTCTAAGAAATAAATGAATTTTTCGTCATAATTGTTCTGTGTATATACTTATGATGGTGGGAAGAAGTTATCAGACTGCAGGGACTTGTTCCTAATTTAAACCTATGGAGGTTTTCGATTATTTAAATGCTTGTTTGGTCGGACGCTGACTTTTACCTCTAGTCATGTTTTACTCGTTGACTAGCAACTGCAACTTTACTCTGCTTGACATTTTCATCGTCAAAATATTGCCCTTTTCTCCGATAGACCTGTTGCGTTCTAATTTATTAGATTTGTCGCGCCAACATTTAGTTGGTTAGTTACTAATAATTGTTTCGTCCTTCGTCCCCCAAACTAATTTTCCTCCGCTCCAAAGGGTTCTAAGAATGAAGCCTCACAGCCTTATTCCAGATGATAATCGAGGACTTTGTGAATAAGTTTTTAGGAGTTTTGCGTAAATTGTAGTTTGCAGTGTTTTCCGTGCGTTTGGATTAAATGCACTGGTTATGAGACCTTTTCTTAATCAAAGAGGTTTTCCCACGAATGAAGGGATTAAACGATTTCATTTTCAAACTTAGTCCCTTTTCCCTTACATGGCATCGTCACATGTCCTATATTTTCTTGTCGTCTCAATACTTTTTACTGATTATTTTAGGTTCTGTCTACCTCGAAATTGACTCAGACTATGATGTCGTGGGTCCGTTGTCATGCTTCCCATCGCGGAACATTCCTCGCCACTTTAACATGGTTTAAGCCCCGTCTTCTGCCGAATAGATAGGTTTGGATGAAGTTGACCACAGAGACACTGCAGCACATTACCACTAACTTGACGTTATTCCTGGTGGACTTTATAATTAACGGTTAGAGATCTTGAGTGGTCTTTGGATATTCGCAGTCTATTTCCTAATTAGTTGAATGGGTAAAGGCTATCAATCAAAGTCTTTCCCCTCCCTCCTTGGTTCATTTTCCTTCCATTGAGGATTGTCCAACAACTTCAGATTACTCTGTTTCGTAAGCATCAACTCCTAAGTAGCCCTTAAACGTTCATGTGATTTTTCCTTGGAGATAAAAAATGAAAGTTCCTTCATATAAATCTTAGGAGAAGATGTAGTGAAGTCAGTCAACAACCCACAATATTTCCTGCACAGGCATTTCAAAGAACATTCAGCATTCTGCTCTTGAGGTCCATACCCCAGCTTTCTTATACCTTATCTGAGCATGATCACACCCGATATAGCTGGGCTCAATGATATCACGATAACAAATCTCCGTTCGCTACAATCGGCAGCAAAGCCAGAAAGTGTGACCGGAGGTCTAAGAACCACCCCGATTTATTTACATACTGTGCCGACCTGTGTTTCGAATGGGCCACCTTTCCACGCCTGGTTACGAAATGGGGCGGGATTTAGGGCAACACTAAAATCATGGGACAAACCATATTGGACGTGCTCAAATCACTTCAGTCGCTTTTTATAAGTAATCTAAGAAGTCCTCACAGTGTTTGGACAGTGAATTCAGACCTTCTCCTTCGAGTGGAAGTCGGATTACGTCACGAGCACATCGACCAGCATTTTCAACCTTAAAAGGGGACTAGCCGGACAGAAATCCGGCGCACGCAGATATTGTTGACGATTGGAATATCACAAGGAGTCCAGAAACAGTTTCGGTTGTTTGCAAAAATCCAGCAAACCACATCGACTCAGGCCTGTGGTGCATACCTTTTTCGTTTGCACAACTTGACTCCATGGCATAAAAGTCGTCCACTTTTGTTTTCAAGTGGACAGTAATTAATCTCTTGTGTCTTAGTTAGTCTTGCAACCGATAGTGGAATCGACTTTGAAATAGTGTCGACGAGACTTTTGCCTAAGGTCTGTTCTATAAAAGCCGCTACTTGGTCCAGTATGTTTTATTGTTTTCTCTGGTCCATTTTTCAGCTTTGGCGAATGGACTCTTAGTTATTTGCCATGATTCAATCTGCTCGTGCTATTAACTGCATAGTTCTTGAGCTGGTCGGGCTATGACGACTCAGTTAGGCAAACCCGAGAGCTATTTTATTGCCTTGTGAATTTATGGCTTCAATGATGACCACTTGTTACTCCTCATTCCTCCAAATTAGACTGCAAATCTAAGTTAAATTTGTTTTTGGGCCGCGACTGTGTGGGGGTGTTGCAATTGTACAACCTCTGAACATTTCGCACGGAGCATTACAGATCCGAATAATAAGTGAACTTTCAAGAGCATGATCTGCGCGCCGAGCGTTGCCGCACCATGAAACGAACCCAAGATGACCCAGTCCGACTACCTCAGTTTCTAGCAACGACTAACAGGTCACCAACTACTTGCAGCTGCGAATAAAATGTAGCTTTAGCAAGCTAGTCGACAGGATATATTGGTTCTTAGGCCAAAACGATGGAGAGGTTGATAAAACGCCCCTTCGATCGTGCCGGCACTTGCTAGTCGTCGACTGGTTTCTATGCTAGCCATGCTTGCTTTTCCCTTGCTAAGCGAGTGCCTATCAGACAAGTCACTGGGCCCACCCTGATTGTGAGGACAGGAATTCGCCTGCGTCTGGTATTCTGCCTTTGAACAAACAGCAGCTGTCCGCGTTGTATTGATTTTATCGTGCGTTATTTGAAGTTCGGTATCAGGGTGGAGGAATTTTTGTATATACTAGCTTCCCGTACTGAGGGATCGTTCTCAGTTATGTCGTTAACCGGGTGCCATGTGAATGACAGACCTTGGCGGATACTCTCAACTTTACTGACAACTTTGTTTTGCTGTTTAAGGAATTTTGAATCCTCCAGCCTGTCCAACGGACTCTACGCCGCGTCTCACAATGGAAAGCTTCAGCCTCTGCTCTTTTATCCATCCCTACTTGTCTTCTGGTGAACCCATTGCCTTCATGCCTCACCACAGTCCTCGCTGGCCGGAGATAAAGGCCGTCCTGTCTAGAATCGCCGCAACCTGTCGTAACATCTTTCATCTCGTCTCTCTGTTCGATTACCTGGAACATCTGGTGAACCTTGGTCCTCCCTCAACTGCGCTGCTGCAGTTGATCCCCTCAAGGGAGACATTTATTGGCCTTGGAAACTACCTATTCTACCACACCGCGGAGGAACAGAGGAATTTTTTCTTCTCCAGTCTTTTGCCAAAGATCCTAAACTATGCAATTGAGATCGAAAATGTTTTCCTCACCACACCCCTTGCGTACTCCAGGGCATATGAAGGTATACACTGTTTTTGCTCACGAGTGTCACCTTCAGAATTTGCCGTATCAATACCCAGGTCGCATGTGGCCAGTTTGATCGCCTGTTCCTTCCTATGCCTTTATCCCAACGCGGAGCGGCAGAACTGCCTCTTCAGTGATGTCAACTTCACCTACTTCTTTCACGGGATCACTTCCGAGTTTGCCTTCTATTCTTCTCCTAACTGTCTCCTCTAGGTCAACTGCGCAGGTTGCTAAGCTGCAAGCCATTTTGCAGTACTTTGCGTGTCTCTCCGAGCCCGAAGGAATGCCCTCTCAACCATCCCCCGCCTTCCGAATAATGCGGCGATCTCTCCGACTGAAGACTTTCAACAACGGCAACCAAGCCTCTGTGGGTGAGGCGCAGTCTTTGCTCCCGTTCTACGGCAGGCAATTTGTAGATGCCCTCAGAGGAACTCGTTTACCGTTGGCTCTAGTTGAAAATACCTGTGACAAAGAGACTGTATCGGAAATGTTCGATTTGCCTATTGTGAGTACTATTTTAAGTCAATGCCCTGCCTCTCTTGGTCATTTGAATATGTTGATCCTGAGATCCGTTGCCAAGGATTTCACGATGTGCGCACTTTATTTCTCAGCGTTGAAGTAGATTGTCCGGGGCAGTAACAGAATCAACTACTTGAGGTGTATGGCACAGACCGACTGCTTACTTCTACTTCGACTGATCGCTCTGACACGAGAATATGGATCCTCCCTCATTCCTCACCTTCCCACTTTCCTAGTACTACGATTAGCCTCACACTAAATTCCTAATTCCAATTATAACCGTAACTCTAACCGCCCTTGGATTTAGGATGAGGTTATCTGTAATACGGAGGGTCCATATTCCAATGCCCAACCGAGTGATCTTCCAAAATTATGTTTTAACAGAAATTGAGTTCTGGAAAAGACATCTTGTCATGTGCACGAAGTTAAAGTGGACGTTGGGTGGTGGACCTTTTTACGGTTACTCATGGAATATTTGTGCATCCTTGGAGATCACGGGTGCGTTGAAGCGAAGGATTACCTGCCTTTTATTGGGACAAGAATACACAGATTTACAAACGATAATTTTCATAGAAGAAAAAGTTTGTTTTTTGATAAAACGTGCCTATTCTCATTTTGCCTCACGTGACTTACGCGGATCAAAAAATAAATTTTCAAGTTGGTGACAGTAGTTTTAACAAACCTGTTCTATTTACACGCACGCTAACGTGTAGTTGTGGTCTGCGCCCGTTTTTAATATTGGAACCTTGATTATTAGCTTCATATAAGCGTGTGTATATGTCGCGCCAGCCGACCTAGTCCTCTATTCATTTCTTCTGACGACCGGTCGGTGTCGCCGACCTGGAAATTTACGCGTACAACTCGATTTTCCGAAGAGCCTTCTCTTTTTCATACATATATATATCCCGAATGATAGAGAACACACGCGGCCCAGGTAATTGAGTAGAAGAAGACGGGAAGGCGATCGCTGGGACCAATTAATTATTTATCTGACTTTTCGAACTCTCGCGCGAGCCCATCGTCAAGGAATGAAAAAACTGTACAACTCGTCGTATATTTAGCTCACATCTGCCGGGGGTGACCTCTAGCCGCGCTGCTGATTTGTTCACGCAGTGCTTGATAGGCGATTGGCAGATCGATATGTCGATTAATCGAGTCCTCGGTTGACTGTCACTCTTCCTGCAGCTGAAGAGCAACTCGGTCGTCCGACTGGCCCAATATTTTCACGCATTGAAAGTCGAAGCCGTGTCCTGGCGAGGAGGCGTGTGCGGCTACCAAGGAGAGTTTACCCTTCCGTCTCACAGCCACCTCGTGTTCGTGCAATCTCGTGCGTACCTGTTTGCCGGTTTCACCAACATAATTGGCTTGACCACAACTGCAGTCCGGTTTTGGTTACCCCTTCGGTTTCCTTGCCCGGGTTTCTCGCCTGCACTTTTCGACAAAATTCCCATGGTAGCCGTTCGCTGTGAAGCGTTTCCGCAGGAACCGGACCTCTGCCTTCTTGTCGGCTGGCTCAGTGCAATGGGTTTCTACATGCCGGTAGAGTGTTCACACACAGCTGCGTTTGTGCGAAAGGGGGTGGTTGCTAAGAAAACTTAGAATACGGGAGGTATTCGTCGAAGTGATGGTTTCTTTCGACATGATATCACTTACCGCCTGTTTAACGGTCGTTACCGATCATCAGTACGTCAAAGGACATAACAAATGAGGTATACAAACATGTCACTGTTGTGGCTTCCCGATCTGCAGCGACAGATAATGACAGGTGGCGAGGCACTGATGAACTTCGGTTCGATAAAGTGCCTATGCCCCATCTGGTAGACCCCAGTGGTGGACCAACTGCGCCAGGTGCGTCTGTGCGCATGTTTGCGTTCCTAGTCCCAGCTGCTGGTCAGGGTTATGATTGACTGAATGAAGGCAGAATAAGCCCGAAACAGTACTGTATCAATCTACCCGCATTCTCTGTCGTCCCTCCTCGCTGCTAGTATGACTTGGCCGACTTCGGCCAAGTAATTGGTTGACTGTTCGTGACCTTTGCCACCCATACGGAGCTTGTTTGCTTCGTGAAGCCAACAGATCAGTGTCGCCCATTCCTGATTTAATATATGTATATATATCCATGTGAGTTATAGTAGAGCGCGCTCACTAACCACGTTACGGGACTTGCTCGTCCCAATGATTGGAGCGCTGGACGAATAATCATTTCAAAACTATATGGGCCCTATATGACATCTTAGTAGTGTAAAAAATGTGGGTTTTTTCCCTTACAGAAAGTATGCAACATTTAGTTTAGAATGCCTAGGCGCAAGTTTAATTGCAGGTAGAGTTCAGAATGATACGGGAATTAAAGGAGTTTTAAAACTGAATGATACAATTTCTCGAAGCATGGTGTTTGAAACAGGCGTAATTTGCCACAAAATGAGTACAAGTAAGAACATTTTGTGCATTTTTTCTACAAAATATATTTGACTTTATAGGGGCAACGAGAATCCATGTGAGACATCCGTACAACTTTAGTAGTCACTTTTTACTAAGTGTGCTTTTTGCGGCGACCGGAAAGAACCAAGTTCAAAAATTTGTGTCCTGGCGTGACTAAAATACCCTAGGATTCTTCTGCACGATAATAAATCTTACAACTCCACCTAACTAATCTTTAATTAAAAACGCATTTCGGAATTTCGGTTTACATTTCATGAGCTCGGCCAGGTGCTGTGTACATATACATATATATTCTCTGGAGAACATGTACCAGAAACTGCATAGAGGACGCTGGGGGACCCACTGAGAAACCGAACCCATCGCAGCTGTGTCGCGCAGCGGCAGAATATCGGCTAAACGCATGTCTGGCTTTTAACTAGTATCTGTATCAGGAATGCGGTGTAGTATCTTTGCCATATGTATATAATGGTAGAGGGGCGCTCACCGATTGTTTTACGGAACTCCTTCGTCCCGCTGTGCCTTATGGCTCTCTCTCGAGCCCAACCAACAGCCGTACAGCAGCACATGATATAGGCAGAATGTTATTACTGACAAAGACACGGGTGACTGAAATGACCATTTCTGGATTATTATAGAATATGCGTGTATACTTATATATGAGGTAGTACCGACGAAGACAAGGAAGACCGAAATAGCCATTTCTGGTTGGTTAGCCTTCATCAGCTAGTTATACCCAACCCTAGGTGTGTTTACCTGGGACTCGAATCTGGGATCTTTGGTCATTGAATGTAACACTACCACTGAGCCACTAGCGTGTCCTCTTGTCCGTTTTGATCGACAATATTATGTTATAGATGTAGTCACCAATCAGATCTTTCCATACTCCCTCCAAAGGTACTCACTAAAGGCTCAGACACGTGTTTTGCAGGTGATTCTGCTACTACATAACGCAGCTGCACGAAGTTCGGCTCCTCTGTGAGCCCGGCGGTGTTTCCTGTGCGATTCCTTGTATACGAACTCCAGGTTTAGCATTTCGGAAATTAGTAAGTGTAGGAATAATTGGACCACTTGTAGTTTTGACTTATCTGCCATACAGTTAGATCTCATACGCACCGTCCGCTCTTCCTGCAGATCGACTTTGTGAATTCCTACGTTGGTGGCGGTGCGCTGCGAGCCTCGGAACTCTCCTCCAAGTCGGTCTACTTCCGATACCCCGAGACCCTGGTTGCACTGGCTCTCTGCTGCCGTCTGGAGGGTCCAGAGGCCCTCTGGATCGATAACTACCTCGGTCCTTTTGGACCATCCGCGGAGGACCCTCTGGAGGGGGCAAAACCGCGCACTTTTCGGCGCCTTGTAGTCGCCAACTCCACTCGCTTCCCTGTCTGGGCCTCTGAACTGCAGTACTCTGAGGCCGGTATCATTGAAGACATTGTTAAAACAACGGCTGGCCTTTTTCAGGTCGACCTGGATGATGAAGAAATTGCCGTATGTTACGAAGTCTCTGCTGTTTGCCTTCAAAGTCTATGTCTGATTTGTGTCTCTTTATAGACGCAGAGTTTCGAATTGGACGCTGGATTTGGTTGCACGGAGGAGACATCTGACCACGAAGCTGGGTATAGTGCTGGACCAATTTACCAGTCGATCTAGAGTAGGAGGGGAGCTTCTAGACTGCCAGTTTAACGATCACGTGGGGCTAATTTACACTCGGCGTTTTCTTCTTTGCTGCAGACAGTTGTAATTTTTATTGTGAGAATGCGTTCAATGATCCGGTTGCGGGACATACTCGTCCCGTTGCGCCTTGTAGCCCAATCCAGGTCCGTCGTAGGCAGTCACATAACGACCACTAATCATGCAGGGGGGAGTGTTGTAGTCTCCGGGTCCCCTCAACATCAGAGTAATTTGTTCCCGCCATTTCTCTGAACCCTAACACCTCCAAACCTTTCGCGAGTATTCAAACCGGCGCGGTACCTCCAGGCTCTGCTCCTGCCTGCGTGCACAATAGTGGGATCTCTGATCGGATGGTTGTGAGTTCTGTGGTCGCCAGAATGCGTGGTCTCGATTCTTAGAAACCAGCTCTCTGTGTGTGTGCATAGGAGAACCCCGTCCCAGCTGTACTTTTACCATGACCAATCGCAGGCCCGCTGACGTCGTAGGAACTATCGACCCGAACGTGTGTCTTTTGCCCCCCCCCCGCTCTTTCGCACTGCCCTTTCGGTATCTCTACGCTAGCTGAACCGAAACCCTCGGTATCTACTGGTCGCGCACCCGAACTTCCAATCCGAGATGTCCTCAAGCACCCCCTCCCCCGCCTACGACCTCTTCTCTCCCATGAACGAATCATGCGCTTCGAGGGGTGGACTGCTGGTGAATTACTGAAGAGGACCTCTCGCCGACACGTTTCATTTCCCCCATACGAACTTGAAACATGCCTGGAGCAGTTCGTGTGCACATGTTAAAACAGACATCTCAAATATGCGTGTCCCTCTGCTGTCGGAATGCGTTTGCTAGATGCGAGTGGTTGCCTCCAAAACGACGACAAGAAGCAAACCTTGCGTCTACTTCTTCTTCAGGAAAGTCTCGACTTTGCATACTCGTCGAAATCCTTGTATTAATTGCAGACTACTAGATGGTCGCCGTTTAATTAGTAGTACCTACATAAAGACGGACAGAATTTGTGGTTTATGAATTAACTTGAGGTCATATTAAGTGCCTATCCAGTATGTATGGCTACCCCTCCTGAAAGACATAGAAATAGGGACTCCGCCAATCCCGGGGAGTCGTGCACTAATGTCAGGGGATGTAGAGTTAAGGCTAGGGTCGGAGTTGAATTTAGGGTTAGGGTCAGGGCACGGGAATATTTGCCCTGTATTACCGGGTGAAGGACGAGGTGGGGTTCCTATTCTCGTCTTATCGTTCCTCCGTTTGAGTGCGCATTTACTGATTTCAGTGGGCATTCCATGAAGTCCAGTGTTCTGAGTCGGAAGTTGCCATTCCAGTGTCCCTTATCTCATTTGGGGTTTTTTGCGATTCACAGGCTTCTGGGCTACCTCCTCCATTCAGCCCCGAGTGGTGGCTTCAACACTCATCACAATCCCTCACAGGTACGTGCATGGATACACCAGTTCTGCTCAAGCTATTTGAAATTCATGAGCTCAATTTATTTGTGCTTTCAAACGGGTAATTATGACGCAGAACAGAATGCATACTTTATACAAGTTCTAAAGGGAACCTATCTCCTTGCTACCCTCTTTATCGTACGCGCTTAATGGGTCCACTCCTTCGAAAGAGGTCACCTTATAATTAAATGCCACATGTGGTAGAAGCAGCCTACGTAATCTGCGCACATTCGCTTATGTTTCTTCCCCCGTCAGAACCAGATGATATCCCTCCCCTTCGGATAGAGTGCCAGTTGGTCGGCGGTGCTAATCTGGCCCCCACTCGTGAGGCGCGGGCTGTCGACCGGTTTGCTCGTCTCCTCTCCAAAGCAACCCTTAAGGAGGCCTTACAGGCCTCCCGTCGGTGTCCCGTCCCCTCTTGGCCTCACCATGGTCACCGGAGTCCTCTGATGTGTACCCCCACATCATCATCACGTAGATCCCTAGGCCGCTGCCCCCAGTGCCGACAGGAGCCACCTGTTGCTGCCTCATCCGCGTCCCTCTCGTGAGTTTGTGAAGTTGTAGGTAACCTCTCTGATTTGCGACACTTGTTTATCATGTGCTGAAACTTTGCTACTAATCGTTCTACAGATGTCTTACACTGTTAACCCAGGGAGTTGTTTTCACTCTGTTCCAGGTTCCAAAATCCCACAAAAAGGCCAGAGCCAAACATACCCTCACGGTTGTTGAAGCCAGATGGAAGTCTTTGTGATTCCGACTCCGGCACTTCATTTGGAGCAGTATTAGAGGGTCTGCCGGACAAGTTCACTGAGACTGTGGGGCTTCTAGCCAGTGAAGTCATGTCTGATGTACGTGTGCCCCCGCCGAGCGGAGCCATAGCCTTTACCCCCCCCCCCCCCCCCTGCCTTAATTATCTCCACTCCAACTTTCGAACTGCGCATATTCGCCTACTTGTTATTTTTCAGTAACACTTTATGATCGTTTTTCATAAGCTTGCGGATCCACTGGTTACATTCCTGGGCTTTCTTTTTCAGGCCATCGGCACTGTTCGTAAGCGCCTGCGGGGCATTTACGAGGTCTCAGATAACCTAACTAAGTCCCTGCTAAAGGAATGCCTCACCCCTTCTATGAACGCGCGCGATCCGACCTCGCCTAAAAACATCCCTCTAAGGCACTTGCGCCCTCTCACCGTGGACATACAGCCTCAGGTACGTGAGATTCGTTCATTCGAGGTTAGTGCTTTTTCTTCGCATGTATGAGGGATCGCTGCATCCACTGAAGTGTCTTGACAATGCAGCCCTAAAAGGCAAGCCCATTTTGAAGGCTTACCGGCAACAACAAGGGAGATCGCGATATTCATTTCTGGTTTATCTACCCTTCTAAACAAAAATGCTGCACCGCTTGAACCATAGGCTCACGCCATGTCAATTGCGTCTTCTGCATATCAGTAAAATTTCCAAAGTGCCTATCTTTTTGTCAGCTTTAACTTAAGCTGCCTGTTCGATGACAGAGTTGACTTTGGTTACCTATAGGCTAATCCTCCTCAACTACTAAAACAGTTCCGAGTTCTCGGAGCGTCGACCTGTCGTAGGACTCCAGGTCTATTGACTCCCATTGCACTGGGGATGTCGCACCGCTGTCTCCTACCTCGGGTAAAACGTAGATTCTCCCGTTCAGACGCTGTCACAGGGTTTGCGGATCAAATCGTCAACGTCACCGAGACTGACCTTTTCTTAAGTTGCACTCATGGGGGAGGGGGGGGGGATACTGTCCCTTAAAGTCATAAATTTTCCAGTCGGGAAGGTGAACTACTTTAGGCTGGTGGTGTGGGTGGCTGTGTTGATGGTGAATGCCCGTTACATCTGACCTTATGTCTTTAACAATGAGGCAACTCTTTCTAGTGGCTTCTCTAACTTTCACCTGCAATTCTCAAGACCTCAGGTCTCTGTGAGTGCTGGCGCTGCAACCATAACTCTGACTTTTACTTTGTCTCTGCAGACTTTGGATACCACGCAACCCCTTCTTCGGAGGCCAGCCACGACACCTAACTTGCTGACCCCGTCGCATGCCCATACTATAAACCCTGTCGGAATAGGAACCACCTACAGCGAACATTTGATCAACTTTTCCGTTAGCTTGGCCTCCCGTTGTCTCCTAAGTGCCCTTCTACAACTCAGGCGTGATTATATCCGTTCTCATTCCTCCACAACGTCGGACTCGTTCTCTAAGGATCAACCGTCAGAAGATTCTGCCTCTATGGCTGCCAAAAAGTTGTCGGAAGGTGCCCTGCGGAACAAGGTAAGTTGCTGTCGTTTACCACTGCCCCAAAACCATTATGTCACCATCACCCGTGCGTTGCATTTACAACCTCCTTCGTCACTTAACCTTCTCTGATGACAAGGGAATGTCAGGACGACTGCAGGTAGACGGAGCCTCATTGGTTGACAAAGGTGGACTGCCATCCACGCGCGCTGCACACCCCTTGGCCTCCACTGCTAGCCATTACCCCTCCCCCTGCCCCCGCCTTAATTATCCTCACTCCAACTTGTTGGACTACATATATTCGCCTACTTGTTATGTTTCAGTAACATTTTATGATCGTTTTTCATACGCTTGCGGATCCACTGGTTACATTGCGAGGGCGTGTCGGACCTTGTACGAATGAGTGTCATAAAGGCCACATAAAAAGAAGCCACTTCAGTCATGGTATAACGTCCCTGATCCAATTGAGGACGAAACCCAAGAAGAATTAGGGCAATTTATAGAAAAATAATGGGACGCGTATTAAATTGAACCTACTACAGTCCTCGCTAATAGCCTAATGTACATAGGTAGGGCCGCAGGAGTTCTTGCTTAACAGCAAAGTCGACAGAAAGCCGAAGCTCGAGCGTCCTATTTCGTTTCTTGGTTAGCTTTCTGGCGTTTTAATGGGACCTCAGGCGTTGAAGTAGTCCAAACATTCAAATCCAGCGTTGCGATTGATCGAGAGGCATTGTGAAAAGAAAATAGAGCAAACTTGAGTCATGATCATTCCACTTTATTTGTATCTATAGCATGTTTCTTATGTTAAGTGATTTTATAAGAAACTCAAATTATAACAAACAAGGTACTACGTTTTAACTCCCCAGTATGCATAGTCAAGGTTGGTTCTGCAAACACCAACCCTATAAATAATAATAGCGACTGCGTGCGCGCCCCTGCAGGGCTAGTGGTGTATAGGTTACAGTTTATGACGTAGCATGAAGATTACATAGATGTATGAATCGGAATTTTAAAAGAAGAACAAACTCCTGTTTTTTCGAAAATATTGTGCATACTCACATCTTCCTTGGCCTGTCTGAAAAATTAAGTTTCCAAATGACATCGGTTGTTTTTGTGAATATTTTCCGTTTATTTTAACGCCTTCTACCAAGAAAAACATCAGGCATTAACGCGTACATACGGTCTGTGATGCACGGTCAGATGTGGTTATGTAGCCCCACCTGAGGTGAACAAGCCCCAGTCCATAACCCCTAACACCTAACATTGACCCGACGCTAGCCCTTAACCACGGCCCTAAACCCTAACCCAACAGTACTGTGTCCATCAGGTGGGGCCACATAACAACATCTTACCGTGTGCACATTAAAAATTGCGGGTAAGGATAAGAGAGTGACCGCCCAGCACCAGTCGAATTCACCTCCCGCCAGTCCTTATTCGTCTGTGAATTATGCTTAATGCATTGTATTTATATATGTCACGGAGGGGGGACACCTATCAACCTTTGCCTATAGCACTCCGTATGCAGAGGTCAAGTTGATGTTACATACTAAATCGAGCGTCTTTTTCACAGACAGACAGGCCAGCACTGGCTCGAGCTGCTCAACGGCCGTCGGGCTTTGTCACCGGTCCGCTTGTCTGTGGGGTTGACCCTCAGGTGAACATTATGATCCAGTGGATTTCTGCCGCTGTCGCCTCCTCCACCCAACGGGCCAATTCGGCCTCGCCTGCAGCCCCACTGACCTGCCAGTCTCCGCAAGACGCCGTCACCCGGCGTTCACGCTCCTATCTCTCTCCTGTGGTTTTCGCCACCCATGGCAATCCGCAGCTCCAACAGGTTGTCCTTTTATGGCCTCATTCCTGTCTCTGATTGGCTTCTCGTTTGCTTTAGTTTTGTCTCTGTGCGTGTGTGCATCTGATGGCTCCCACAACGGACTGCGTTGTAGACTTATCATGGATGGAAACGGGGGCCTTACTGCATCGCGGCGTGCGTTTATCAGGCTGTGCAGGGCCCGCGCGTGCCCATAGCCACTGACTGGCTCACTGGAGAGGGAGACACTGATGCATCCCTCACTTTAAAGGAGCTGAGGCGCTTGCATCTCTCATGGTGGGCTAAGAGTGGTGGCTTTGTGGGGAGGGGGGGGGGGTTTCCATCTCATAAGATAACTCAGTCCTCCCCAGGGCTGAGAGTTAAGTCGCAGTATCTCCTTGATGTGACCATTGTGCCTCCTGCGCGCTTGAAGTCCGAGCCGGCACTTCAGAAGCTAGGTATGTTTAACGGCCCAGGTCGTGTGCCTGGCACGCGTAGACCGGTCGTGCAGTTTTGGCAGTCACCGCCGCCGACCCCACCTCCGGTCTTCTCGGCACTGTCTTGACCTCGAAGCATGTCGAAAGAAGAAGGAGGAGTGCGATAAGTGATGTGTAAGTCTGCCTCGCTGCAAACTAATCCACGCGCTACCCATTTGGCGGGACACGCAGTGGATGTTGTTGCTTGAGGCGGTCGAACTGTCTCGTGGTACCCGCGCGCACGTACGTGGCACGCTTTAGACAGGGGCCTCATTCCTTCTCAGTCACTGCGCTCCATCACTTTCCCACTGGGACTGGAGAGAGAGAGAGAGTGAGGGAGAGAAAGGTCAATCCATCTCGGCTCCAGCCTCATTACACACTGCCAAACGTCCCTCGAAGCTGGCACAACTGGCCGCGCCTTGGGAAACTTGGAATTCAGACTGCGATGCCTCCCTCTCAATTTGACCTCTGTGATGCCCCCGAAGCTTGAAATATGTAGTTTGGTTTGTGGCACGCGTAGAAGGCCTGTTTAGATGTGTAATACACTGCATCCCCGCTCCCAAATTCGGCCATGTTGACCTTGTCTTCCATCAGTAGCAAGGTGAAGCCTGGTCGCCGCAGCGTAGTCTGCTCACCCGTAAACAAACGCATTCTCTGATCATCACTGTGCCTCGTCTGAGGCCAGTGGATAAAGAAAAGACATAAAATGATGCTACTTAAATATAGGAAGTAGCATGCTCTGTAACACAAAACTTTGGTTCATGTGGTAGAGGGGAAAATTTGCTAGTTTCTGACGTACAGTAGTCTTTGCCAAATTTTGGTCCGATGCTTCTTAGTCTACCAACGCTTTCAAAAGTAACTTTGTCTTTCGGTTCGTTGCGGTATATCGTTATACGTCCGTTGAGAGTCCTTACGCACCTGCACTTTTGTTCGACTAGGTCTTTGCCATTTAAGCTCAATGCTTGCGCCGTATTGGGTTACTGCAGTCTTTGCGGTGGACGAGAACATTATGGAGGGCCATTCGATTGTTCCTTTTCTCTTCATTCGCTACCCTTATGTCGGGGAAGATACCGTTCAAATATTCATTGGGGGTCAACACCCGATCCCGTTTGATGAGGACGGAGGTATCGCCCCTCTACTGAGCCTAGATTGTCGGTCTGAAATACGGCGACAATGACCACTTTAAGACCGTCTTGCTCGAGTCCAGGAATCCGTAAAGTCATCGGAATGCCTCGGGGAATTGCTTCCGCGAAAATCTACGGAAAAACTATCTTTTGCTCGCCTTTGGGCGGTGGCGAATAGGAAGGCGTATTTCGGTTTAAGAAAGTTAATAGTTGAGCATTTTTGACGACCACATATTCACATGAAATGTGTATTAATTTATTTGCGCCCCTTGTCCGGTTTATAGAATAAAAACCGTTTAATATCACTTCGGCCGACGCGAACGAGGATGCCCATCGCTGCCCAACCAGGTGGGTCCAGCAGCGGTGACTTTCGCAGCTTTCGCCGCACCCTCACCCACCTGGCAAGGCAAGGTCAGGACGACCGAAGGCGAAATCGGGCGCAGTGGCTGACAGAGCTAACTGCCCCGTCTACGCGGGCCACACACACGCCCGGTCCACTCACAAGCTGAGCGAGGGTTCCATAAAGGCCAAATTAAAAACAAACAACTGCAGCTTGACTCTCCGTCCTGAGGGGAAGACCAAGTTATCCCGCGTCAGTTGGCAGCCTTCCATGCCAGGGCCTGTAACGCATCATGATAATTTAAAAAGCGCTTCAGATTGTTTATAATGAAGAATGTGTGCGGTTTGTTGTTGGGACACAGCCTCCAAAATCCACCTCTCGCTCTTCCCTCATGTACCAATTCGCCGTTCGAGCCTGTCTCGGGCATCTGATGTTGGGATTGGGCCCAACTGGCTGACGTGGCGTTCGCCCGTGCCTAGACGCACCGCCGCACCCCACCCCACTCCCATGTGTGGCATTTGTTTGACTCGCAGGGACTCTGCGCAGTGAAAGGCCATGCTGTCTCAAGCCGATTAATCTTGGAAGCTCACTTGAGTACGGTTTTTTCTGCACGAAAACCTGAATACTTTTTCTCTTTTAAAGGGGGGTCTTTAGATAATATACAGTAGGCGGCGTAACTCGTGAAACAGTAAGTAATATCTCGAAATATCACCTCGATGAGAGGGTATTACCTAGGTGGGTTGTAGTCATGGCAGGGTTCCGGCGTGCAAGAGTCATGTACGTACAGTAGGTGGGCTAACTCATGAAATGTCAACCGAAATTCCGAAATGTGTTTTCGTTTCGAGAAGATTAATTAAATAGAGTTGTAAAACTAATCATCATGCAGCATAATTCTATAATAATTCGGTTACCTCAGGATGCCGGCTTTCGAACGTATTCTTTCCGGCTTCATGTAGAAAATGACTGCTTCAGTAGCATGCATTTTTTCTCATTGATTTCCGATGCCCTTAAAAAATCAATTATATTTTATGGAAAACATGCAGAAAAATAATCATTCTTTTGCTCATGCGGTAGAAAATTACTCGAAGGAGAGACATAATTCGGTTTTAAAAAAGTTTCTAACTGTGGGACTTTTAAATACCGTGAAATGGCCCTTTATAAATCGTCATGTCTCTGCATTTACTAATATGGCTTGTAAAGTTAACAATATGGATCAAATCCACTGCTAAAATTTTATGAACCCTATATAATCCCCCTTATTGCCGTAGAGAAATGTGTGGTTTTCTGTACGCGGAAAATATACGGCTTGTAGTTTTGAAACCCTGAATCCAGGTTTAACGGCAGGTGGGGTTCAAAATTATTCGGGAATTGGAAAAAGTTTTTGAAAACCGAATTATACCCTTTCTTCGAGTATAAAACTGGAAGAAGGCATAACTTTCTGCCGAATGAGCAGAAGAATGATTATTTTTCTGCATGTTCTTTATGAACTGTAATTTAATTTTTAAGGGCATCGGAAATCACTGAGAAAAATGCATGCTACTTAAGCAGTCATTTTCTACAGAGTATAGCTTTTGCATGAAGCCGGAAAGAATACATTCGAAAGCCGGCATCCTGAGGTAACTGAATTATTATAGAATTATGCTGCACGATGATTAGTTTTACAACTCTATTTAACTAATCTTTTCGAAACGAAAACGTATTTCGGAATTTTGGTTGGCATTTCATGAGTTAGCCCACCTTATCTATTTTTTTCGATGACCTTATAAACCCAAACATACCTTATAGAAAGCACACACGAAAATACCCCCTTATACGCATTTTTTAGCGAATTATGTATTTTCCAATTTTTTCCCTCGAAGAAAGAGTTTCTTTCGGTTTTAGACAAGTCTGTGCTGTCTCATTAAATGTTAACCGAAATTCTTGAACGTGTCTTCCATTAGGAAAGATTGCTTACGTAGGTTCGTAAGACTGACTATCGCGCGGGCTGATCAAAAGATATTTCGATCACGTCAGAATGCCGGCTTTTTTTGCGCGCCTCTTTCTGGCCGCCTGCGAAAACTACACTTTGCAAGAAGGGACTACGCAAGTAGTCTTATTTTTTCCCGCTGATTTTCGATGCCCTTATACATTCCAGTATACTTCATAGGAAACATGCGAAAAAAAACTTTTTTCTTGTGCTTATTGGGTGACAAGTTGCATCTTCGAATCTTATGCCTGAAGAATGAGTACTTTTCGCCTTTAAAAAGTTTCTAATTATGGGATTTTTAAAACCGTGAAATGTCTACCCATAAAGCATCTTATCCGTCCGTTTATTGGTGCCGCTCGTAAATTATCGGCGACATTTCGACCGTCGTTGCCGACGATGTCCACCGTGTGCTCCACAACAAGTTGAGAGCAGGGACGGTGACTTGTGCATAAATTAGTTTATAGTGAATGTAGACTTGCACAGCGTCTACCGCACTCTCTCCGCACGTCTGTGAAAACTACACTTTGCAAGAGATGACTGCGCAAGTAGTCTTATTTTTCCCGCTGATTTTCGATGCCCTTATACATTCCAGTATACTTCATAGGAAACATGCGAAAAAAAACTTTTTTCTTGTGCTTATTGGGTGACAAGTTACGTCCTCTAATCTTATGCCTGAAGAATGAGTACTTTTCGCCTTTAAAAAGTTTCTAATTATGAGATTTTTTAAACCGTGAAATTTCCACCCATATAAAATCATATCCGTCCATTTATTGATGCTGTTTGTAGATTATCGACGACAGTTTGACCGTCATTGTTGACGATGTCCACCCTCTGCTGCACATGAAGTTGAGAGCAGGGACGGCGACTTGTGCATGAATTAGTGTAGAGTTAATGTAGACTTGCACAGCAACTACCGCACTCTCCACCCCCACCTGGGCCCGGTGTCAAGACAAAGTCGAGAGTACCGGAGGCGTGGGGTGGAGGGTGCAAATGGATGACACAGTCGAGCTGGCACCTTGACGCTCCACTCCACAGCACCTGACCCACACAGTGAATGACCGGGTTTTTGACCAAAAAAAAACAATCGGAGTGAGCGGCAGGAGACCCAGTGTGCACGACTTCTGCTGGTAACCGGGTCTGCCAACGCACCTCGAAGTGTTGGCATTTGTTATGGTGCGCAAATCCGATAACGCCTGCCAGAATCCGAAATGGCCCCCCGAGTTTGTCCAGTGCATCTACCACGTGGTCCGTTTTGGGGGGCACTCTTGTAAAGTGTAAAACATGGTCTACAGTCACTGCGAAATTTTATGAGTGCTATATGACGTCTTAATAACAGAAATGAGTGATTTTCCCTGCAGGGAAGGTATCCGGCTCGTAGTTTGTGGACCTTGAAGACGGGAATTGCGAAGGTTCTGTAAGACCGAAAGATGCGCTTTCATCAAATATGTAATTTGAACAAGACGTAATTTCGTACAACATGAGCACAAGAATGGATATTTTTGTGCATACTTGCCATAGAATGTATCTGAATGCATAGGCACATCGAAAGTCAATGAGGAAAATTCTTACTACTTGAGTGGTCATTTTTTACAAGGTTTACTTTTTTCGGACGACTGGAAAGAAGCCCTCCGGCATTCTGACGTGACCGTAATATCTCATGATTATGTCGCGCGATAGTTAGTCTTACGACCACACGTAGGTAATCTTTTATAATCGAGGACACAGTTCAGAGTTTCGGGTAATATCCGATTTATGTAGCATCATACCTGTCCGTTTATTGATGCGCTTCATGAACTATGCGACGTGGTCCATATTCATTGGAAAATTTCATGAGACCTGTATGGGATCTTCTTAAAAATACATAGGAATGCATGATTTCCTCCAAATTAAAAGTATCCAGCATGTGGTTTGGAAGTACCAAACTCGAGTGAAACGACAGAGCACGTTCCAAATTATTTGTGAATTTAAAATCCTTTCAAAACCGGAAGTCACTTCTCCTTTGAGTCGAAAATTTGAAGAAGCAACTTTTCTGCGACCTGGGTGTAAGAGAATAAATAATAATAGTAGTGGTAGTAGTAGTAGTAGTAGTAGAAGTGGCAGTAGTAGTGGTGGCAGCGGTAGTAGTGGTGGTGGTGGGGGTGGTAGTAGTAGTAGTAGTAGTAGTAGTAGTAGTAGTAGTAGTAGTAGTAGTAGTAGTAGTATTAGTAGTAGCATTAGTAGTAGTAATGATACTAAGGTATCCTGATAATCAGTTTAAGAATGCATACTGTTCAAGTGGTTGTTTTGCGAGTGCGGTTTCTATGGCCGGTAGGAAGAACTTGGAATTAGGCTGCGTGATGATACTTCAGGCGTCGTTGCCGAAGATGCCCTCCATGTGCTCCAGAGCAAGGCGGAAGCAGACACGAGGACTTGTATGTGGTAGCAGACTTACGCAGCATCTATCGCACTCTCTCCCCCCCCCTCCCCCGCCTGAGCCCGATCGAAACAGACAGGACAACAGGCTCGTGGCCCAGTGTTTAGAGGCGTGAACTTCTAACTAACTGATCTCGAGTTCGAGCCTCGGGTGTTCCACACTTCGGGCTTGGGTATGGCTGGCTGACGACGGCTAATAAGCCAGAAATGGCCATTCCAGTCTCCCTTGTCTTTGTCGGCAATAACATACTACTTGTACGTTAGTTTATAGTAGTAGCAGACTTGCGCAGCGTCTACCGTACTCTCCCCTCCTCTCCCGCCTGAGCCCGGTGTCAAGGCGTAGTCTTGCAGACCGAAGGTGGGAGAGGGCGCAGGTGGCTGGCACGACCGAACCCCCACCTAGGCGTACCACCCGCACACTGCTCCACAACAAAGACCTAGCAATGTGCTGCACAGCCAGGTGCAGCAGGTACGGCGACTTGCGCATGAAGTACTCTATAGTGAGGGTAGGCTTGCGCAGCATCTACCGCACTCCCCCATCCCCACCTGAGCCCCGTATCAAGACATAGCCATGATGATCGGATGCGGGAGAGGGCGCAGGTGGCTGGCACGGTCGGACTCACAGTTAGGCGTACCGCCACACCCTCTGGTCCGCAACAAACACTTGACCAGGAATCTAGCCAACAGCAAAAATGGGTCAGAAAGAGAAGGATGGCACAAGTCAGCAGACAACAATTCACCACAAGCGCATCCACAGGCAGGGGACCGGATGCCAGCACACACACACCAGGCCACCCATGTAATGCTTCCTCGTTGAGTTGATATAATCAGAATTGTTGTGATACAGTAGGTGGGCTAACTCGTGAAATGCCAACAGAAATTCGGAAATGCGTTTTAGTTTCGAAAAGATTAAATAAGAAGGGTTGTAAAACTAGTCAGCCTGCAACCTAATTCTATAATAATTCAGTTACCTAACGATGCCGGCTTTTGAGCGAACTTCTTCCCGACTGCACACAAAAACAACATTCTGTAAAAAGTGACCTCTTATGTAGCATGAATTTTTCTCATTGATTTTCGATGTCCCTAAAAGTCCAATTATACTTCATAGAGAACCTGCACAAAAAATATTCATTTGTTTGCCCATTCAGTAGAAAATTACGTCTTCTTTCAATTTTAAACTCGAAGAAGGGTATCATTTGATTTTTAAGAAGTTCCTAACTGTAGGACTTTAAATACCGTGAAATGGCCGTTCAGAAATCGTCATGTCTCTGCATTTACCAATGTGGCTTGTAAAGTTGACAATGCGGATCAAATCCACTGCTAAATTTTATGAATCCCATATGGTCCCCCTTTATTACAGCAGAGAAATTTATGGTTTTCCATACGCGGAAATTATACGGCTTGTAGTTTGGGAACCCTGAATGCAAGTGTAACGGCAGGTCGGGTTCAAAATTATTCGGGAATTGGAAAAGTTTTATAAAACCAAATTATTTCCTTCCTTTGAGTATAAAATTGGAAAAAGACGCTATTTTCTACAGACTGTGCAAAAGAATGAATATTCTTATGTCTGTCATGCATGAAATATAATGACATCCTTAAGGGCATCGAAAATCAATGAAAAAATGCATGCTACTTAAGTAGCCATTTTTACGGAGTATGATTTTTAGATGCAGCCAGAAAAAAGTTTGTTCGAGAGCCAGCATTCGCGGGTAATTGAATTGTTAGAGAATTATGTTACAGGCCGGCTACTTTTACAACCCCATTTAATCAATCTTTTCGAAACGAAAACGCATTTCGGAATTTCTGTTGATATTTCATGAGTTAGCCCATTTACTGTACGTACAAAAATGGATAGGCCACCGACACGTCCACATTGTGTGCACTTTGTGTCTGACCTAGAGATATCTCCTGCTCCTCTTAACGTCCAGCTGCCGTCTGTTTGTAGCTGAACGCCATTGTGAACGCGATCGGCGCGGCTGGCTGGAACGCGGACCATCTACTGCGCAGCCTGTTGGAGTACTCCGAATACCGCTCACGCCTGCTCTCCGGCGGTCCGAGTTCACCGAAAATTGCCGCTGGCCACGGCGATGCACCCCCCTCTGCGCCGCCCTCCAACCCCCCCTTGCGTGTCCTGTCCTTCTTCGACTTCCTCCTCTCCCGCTTTTCCGACCGCACGGCGCGTACCCTGCCCATCTAGTGGGGACGGGGAGGGGGCGTTGTTGCCGCTGCTGTGTTACTGTGTCTTATCTTCTTCTGCATTTCCTTCATTTTGATCTCCCCCTTTCTGCCTTGGGGGGGCCTTTTTGGAGAAATTTCTCTTTACTTCCTGTGACATTGTCGAATCGGGCTTTCTTTTTTCTTGGCGTTCCTCAATTATATACCACTAGTCATATTGTGAGGCTGGCTTTAAAACCGCCCGACTAGGCGGTGCAGGGGGTGGAAGCAGGATTACCATCAGTAATCATTCAACTAGAACCCACCCATCGTTGATACAATGGCTAAATATTGAAATTGGTAGTCGTCTGATGCATTATACGATAGCCTAGCAGCACTAATTCGATGACAAAAGCTGATTTCTGCCAAAAAGTGCTAAAGGTTGCACTGGCACAGCCCCATACCTTAGCCGCCCCCCCCCCCGCTCGGGGCAGACCGCTTTGATTGGTTTCGACTACAAGGTCGCGCTGTCTCAAGGTCATTCACCTCCGCAGTCAGCGGTTCCTGCAGCCACTCGATCGACTTCAACTTGGGCGCACGGGTGTCCACACAGAGTCGCAGCTGCCCATGCGCCACTTGAACACACCACCTCCCTGCGAACAGCGACATAAGCTACTTGAGCACCATCCCTCGGCCAGTGCAACACACACCAACTGCACATCACTTGAGCTTGGCCCACAAACATAGGAGGGCGGCTGCCATCACCGTCTCATGAAGCTCTCAGGCATGGTGAACGCGGTCAACACCGGCCCTGGTTTCGCTGGCAGCCACTGCCGCCTGAGAAGACAACTTACGGTTCTCTGGTGGCCTCCGTCTTTTTCTAGAATTCGGGATTCGGACTGATGATTGTAGTGCTCTAAGTACACTCTCACCGCTTAGGTGCTACGAGACTGGGACCTAAAGCAGCTTTTAACGGATCGGAAGTCGCTAGAATTACGTATCGCAGTTACTCATGAGCGGATCTCCTCTGACCGCACCCTTATGTATGCCTTTCTAACATAAGATCACAAATTGGCATAAATTACAAGTCAGAAAGCAAGGCACCATATAAACATAATAACTGAGGTCATGGCCCCTAAAGTTATTCTGGATTGTAAAGAAAAGGACTAACTGGGTATCCAAGGCAAGCTAACATTGGACACTCGTAAGAGTAGTCGCTAACCGAGCTACTATTAAATGGATTTTTCGAAAGTTGGTCTTAAGAGTTATATCTAAATTGGTGACAAGGGATGTTAAGAAATTGCACGCAATGAAATCAAACAGACGTAAGTGGGAAGGTTGATAATGAAATAGTGCGACGACATCGCTCCATAAACACAATTCTGGCTCTTTCTTGCCGAAGACCCCACAGCTAACTCCTTCACTTTTCCCTTATCATTAAACTCTGCCAACTACTGCCCAGAGATTTCAAGGGACTCTCACAGGTAGTAGTAAACCCTTGATTAGCGAAGGGTGATAAACCAACAACAAAGATTTAAGTCCAGGAGTCATCTCTACAAATTGCTGGTCCTTTTGTGAATCATTCAGACGGAGAAAAAACTGAAAGAGATCGTCGCTGACAGTCATAATGATCATGTCTGGCGTCCTCACTCGAGAGCCCGTTATCTCGAGCTCACTAACTTTTGCAGCGAGCGGTTCCAGACGCGCTGGCTTGCCACTCGACAAACTTCAACTTGAGCGCACGGGTGTATACAGAACCGTAGCTACCCATGCGCCACTTGAACACACCACCGCCTGCCTACGAATGCAACACAAGCCACTTGAAATCCGCGCCTCGACGAATCAACACACACCCACTGTACACCACTTTAGATTGCCCCGCAAACCTGTAAAAGCGTATGCCACCACCGTCTCACGGACTCTCGGGTATGACTGAGAAAAGAACTCTGGGTTCTGTGTTCAGTAAACTCACTACTCTGATGACTTCGGTTTTTTTTCCTCCAACATGGAATTTAGCCAGATGATTGTGGGGCAGCTGTAGGTTCTAGGACCCCAACATAGGTCGCTAGCTAGTGGTCCGTGTCTTACAGGAGTGATGACAATGGGGGTTTTACGGGTAGGGCAGCAAGCACGTAGGATGGAAGGTGGAATTCAAGGAAGCGCGCAAATTTGGCCGCAAAACTTAACATGCGCTGTTGTATAGCGACGGAACGTTAGCGCGATAAACAAGGTGATTTTTGCAAAAAAATAATGGAGTCTGAATGGGCCGCCAATGGTAAGTCTGCGTCCGGTCAGGCAGCCGAGGCGATTCCAGCCAATCGGAATGACGAAAAACAAGTGACGTCTCCACTATCATTATTTCTTCATAAACGCGTTTGAGCTGTGAGTGAGTGATAGCCAAGCTCAGAATGCACCACTGAGCGGGAGTGTTGTAAGTATTAACAACTGCCGATTCCTGGTGAGAAGTGTAGGATGTTTAAAAGGTAAATTTGCGGAAGCATAAGCTGTATGGGGGTAACTGGCAACGTACAGTAGGTGGGCTAACTCATGAAATTTCAACTGAAATTCCGAAGTGTCTTCGTTTCGAAAAGATTAATTAAGTGGGGTTGTAAAATTAGTCAGCCTGCAACATAAAATTTCAGTTACCTCAGGATGCCAGCTTTCGAATAAACTTCCTTCCGGCTGCATACAAAGAACTACACTTTAAAAAATGACTACTTAGATAGCATGAATGTTTCTCATTGATTTCCGATGCTCCTAAATGTCAAATTATATTTCATGGAAAACATACATAAAAATATTCATCCTATTGCTAATTCGGTAGACAATTACGTCCTATTTCAATTTTATACTCGAAGGAGGGACGCCATTCCGTTTTCAAAATTTTTCAATTCCCGAATAATTCTGAACTCACTCTACCGTTACACTTAGAACCAGAATTTACAAGCTGTATATTTTCCGCGTACGGAAAACCACCTATTTCTCCGCGATATTACGAGGAGATCATATAGGGTTCATAATATTTAGCAGTAGATTTGATCCATATTGTTAACTTTGAAAGCAATATTAGCAAATGCAGAGACATGACACTTTATGAACGGCCACTTCACGGTATTAAAAAATCTCACAACTATAAACTTTTTAAAACCGAATAATACCCTTCCTTCCAGTATAAGATTGGAAGAAGACGTAATTTTCTACCGAATGAGCAAACAATGAATATTTTCATGCATGTTTCCTATAGAAGATAATTTGACTTTTAGGGGCATCTAAAATCAATGAGAAAAATTCATGCTACTTCTGTAGTCATTTTTTACAGAGTATAGTCTTTTAATGCAGCCGGAAGGAAGTTCATTCGAAAGCCGGAATCTTGAGGTAACTGAAGTATTATAGAATTATGTTGCAGGCTGACTAGTTTTACAACCTTGCTTAATTAATCTTTTCGAAACGAAAACGCATTTCGGCCGACATTTCATGAGTTAGCTCCCCTATTGTATATATGTAGATATTGGGAAGTTCGAAGTGAATAAGCGAAGACGACAGCGTAAGTACGAAATATCTATTGAAGAAGAGTACTCTTGAGTGATTTTTTATAGAATTGGAGAACATCGGCCGCAGCAAATAGGGAACTATACCGCACCCAGGGCGACTTACGAAAAATGATGGAAGTTATTAATTTGGAGATTGTTGAGTACTGTCAGGTCAGGGGACGACTGCCACCGGTGCTGACACGCCAATACAGACGCCAAATATGCCTATGTTCTCCGGTGTGCACGGTTCAGAAGGCGGAAAACACTTTGAATCGATTCGATGTTTGAGAGGAGCCAATTAGAAATCGGAGCAATCATGAGTATTTGGCTGGCTGGTTCACTAAATTCAAAGAGGCTGTTGCTGTGACCCGACCTAAACGTCATGGGACTAAAGAAAGCATGAAAAATACTTCTGTCTACACAGTGTAGCAGCGGTCGGCATGTCCGAGGTAAGGGGATGTTAACGTAAACGGTTAATCACCGATGTGTGGATGGATGCCTGTATATAAAGTCGGTCCGAGTCAACATCCTCTGAGTTAGGCCCTAGCCATATAAATGTGGAGCGTCGGGGAGTATTTGTACTTGCTTCGGTAGTACGACGCTTCTCGACCCTCAGCTAAGTTTGAGGGAAAGGTAGTGTCCGCAATGGTCGGGGTGGTACGATCGCTTCGTGACTTTCTGAGGTAAGATTGCAGGACGCTCAACTTCTCTGGCCTAAGTTCACGGTAATTAAGTGCTGAGTGCAGGGTGTTATCCGCATTCGTCTCGATACCGGCAGGGAACCAGAGTGTTGTGGTCGCTTCTCGACTCCCCGGACATGTGATAACTGCGGGCAATGTAGTGTCTGCACTGACCTCGTTGTACGGAGCGTCATATAAAATTAGGTAGGCCTACTGGAACAAGTGTGGTAAATTCTGTGGACGATAGTTTGCTTGGGGTCCTACAACCTACGGTTGTGGATAGTGATAGCAGGCGAGCGCAGCATCTGCTGCAGACAGGGGCGAATGGGCTGGCAAGGCCAAACGGCCCACTTGCGCGTGCCACACACGATATCGTCTCCACTGCGTGTGCTGAGCTACTGTGAGGATGGCTTGGATCCCTCATGGTCGGGAATGCCATCGAAGCCACTCTCAGAAGGGACCAATGAAGCCTGGCCCTCAGTCGTGGGAGTGATCATGCACTACCGTGCTACTATCCAAACCTCTCCAAGGCTGCCTGTCTTGCCAGGTGCCACAGGAGCCAGATTTTCACTGTAGGGAAAATGCTTAGAGTTTAACATGATAATGATGATGGCCCGGCGTTACGGACGATGTCCACCGTGGGCCTCACGGTGGGGAGGGATTTGCGACGCACCTCCCCCACCCACCTGAGCGCGGTGTCAAGGCACAGGGGGACCAGGAGCGAGGTCGGGCTCATTGGCTGGCAAAACTAAACAGTCCGTCTACGCGTGCCACACGCACGCCTAGTCCGCACAAGATTGACCAGGGTGTCACAGAAACACACAAAGGCTGGC